GGTCATATAATTCTATTTTTAATTTCTTTAGGAACATCTACACTAATTTTCTTAATGATTGCATCAATCTACTTTTCCACCAACAGTGTATAAAAGTTCCTTTTTCTCTACACTCTTGCAACTTATCTTTTTAATAATAGCTATCCTAATGGGTGTGAGGTGCTATCTCATAGCAGTTTTGATTTGCACTTTTCTAACATTTAGTGATATTGAGCATCTTGGCCATTTTTATGTCTTCTTGGTAGAAATGTCTGTTTAGGTCCTTTGCTCGGTTTAAATAGGATTACATGTTCTCTTGCCAGAGAGTTGTATGGGGTCTTTATATGTTTGGTATATTAATCTCTTATCTGACATATGGTTTGCAAATATTTTTTCAAATCCACAGGTTGCCTTTTCATTTTGTTGATTGTTGTATTTGTTGTGCAGAAGTTTTTCAGTTTGATTTAGTCCCATTTATTTTTGCTTTTGTAGCCTGAACTTTTTGTACGATATCAAAGAAATCATTGCCAAGGCCAATGTCAAAGAGCTTTTCCAACATGTTGCATGTAATAAACTGAACTTAGATAGAAGACCCAAACAGTAGATACTAAGCATCTTTTCACATATTATTGATCATTTGTATATCTTATTAGGAGGTAATGGCTTTTCTTTTCTGGTTGTTTTTAGTTTCATTTTGTCTTTAGATTTTAATAGTTTTACAATTATAAGGTTAAATGAAGTTGGGGTTGAACTTCACTTGGGAGATTTGTTGCTGTTAGTGTTTTTAGTGCATACTTCTGAAACAGTTTTAATATACTGTACAACAGAGAATAAGTAAATTCATTGACATGGCTGGGAAACAGAGTTCTTACAAAGGGAAGAGAGATACAAATAAGAAATAGGGAAAGACAAGGAAGAAATCTGTGGTGTTTATTTGAATTGGAGGTATCAATATGAACTTTTAAAAAAATTATGTATTTCCTAACTCTAACCATACAATACATAAAAAGCAATATAAAGTCGATGGACAATTGCTTTATTTATTTGTAGCTGTGTTCCCAGCAGTAATGGGAAGAATTATTGCATGGTATTTAATTTCTACATATTTCTAAAAGAAACAAAGCAGAAATGACTTCTTCTAGATCCAGAGCAGGGAAAGTCAAAAATATCTTTTGGCAGAAATCAAGGAAGTCTCATGACCCAGAAGACATACAAAAAATCCACAGTAGCAGTTTCACGGGGCTCCCACTAGCCAAACAAGAGTATCTAAACATTAGAGAATAATAATGAGGACACTAAATTATAACAAATTTTAAAAATCTATAAGGCTATAATGACAATAAAAAGATGTAGGTAAGAATGTCTTCGTTACAGAATAATGCTAGGTAGTACATTTAATTAGAAAATCAATGTAACCATTAATGCAGTTACAGACAGAGACCATCAGGTGATGTCAAAACCAACATCTGAAAGGTTATTGGAGACCAAGATATCTATATTGTGTCAAAGTATCACTCCACTAATTGCTTCTTAACTATAAAAGATAAATGATATCTTCACAATGGAGAGATCGCATGTCTATGATGCTAAATTTAGTATCACCAAAAATGTGTAAAGATAGCATTATATGTTCTTGTAATTGATCAGATGCAATGGGAAACACACATCAACTATGGCATGGTGTTTGCCAAAATATTTAACCTCTGATAATGTGCAAATTCTGATTGGGGGTCATTTTACCAGTCAGCTGATACGGACTTTTACAAAAATCAAGACCATGAAAATTGGAAAATATAAGTGGGCCAAATAGATACCTAGTTTAAAAGTAGCTAAAAAGACCTGACAACCAAAAGAAATGCATAATCTTTGATAATGTCCTGTAGAAAAAAAAAACAAAACCAAAGAACACATTGGTACACCTGGAGAAAGGGGAATGTGAAGTATATATGAGAAAATAATGTTTTTGAAATAAAGTTTTGAGTGTAATAAAGGCATTTGTGGTTTTCTAAGGTAATGGCCTCTTTTAAGAAGAGACATACTGAATCAATAAGAATAAAGTGTTTTACTTCAGAAATTGAGGGTAAAATACACAAAAAGAGATAAAGCAAATGTCAAAAGATGTTAATAATTGAAATACATTTTAATATTCTGTTTGTTGTATGATTCAGCTCTTCCAAAGGTATCAGTTTTTTAAATAAAATTAGAAGAAAAAAATCTTAAGATCTTGAAATATTGGCATGATTTCAGTTTTGTGGTGGGTATTTTTTTATATTCATTTTCAATATCTTTGAAATATTCTATAATTACCACAAAATGAACACACAAGATAAGGTTTCTTTTAACCCTATAGTATCCTTTTTCTATAGGGACAGGCTATGATTTTTAAAAGTCCCCCCAAAAGATAAGAGAATTTATAGTCTGAGGACAAAATAGCTTGACATCTTTGAGATGAGCACAAAACTTAGCTAACAATGTATGTCAAGAAACTGTTTAGTAATACATAGGACTGTTTGAACTGAAACAGGAGATTCTGAGTTCTCTACAGGTTGGTCAAGAACTCACAGATGTTGGGGAAATGCCTGAATGTAAGCAGAGGAGTGGTAGTGCTTGTCCTAAGTTGTGGCTGGATAATATGTGTTTGTGTAACAGGAGGGGACTCTAGAAGGACCGAAACACTGTCTGTGGGGAGGGGTCTCTAGCAGGACAGAAGGATCAGATGGAGCTGGAAGGAATTCCCTTCAGTCCCCCACAAATACTGTCCGATAGTAGCCCTGATCTGGTTTCCATTGTTTAGAAGTCCCATCACCCTCCCTGAGCCATGTATGGAGGGCCTAAGCCTAGTGGCTCATCAGGAGGCACTGAGGTTTGATGGGGTCCAACTGTTTTTGAAACAGGGTTAAGTGTTGCCTGAGAAGTCGAGTTTAAAGGAAAAGTCTGACTTCATCCTAGCATTCAGTATCTAGTTTGCAGGTGTTTTGAGTGGTCAGTAGAAACTCATCTTTCTCCACTGATGCCAGTGGGTTCTGCTCAACAGTGAAATCTGAACTGTAGCAAACCATTGAGTGGAGAATCTTCTAAGCCCACTTGAGGGGTAGATGGAGGAGAGCCAGGAACCAACCTGAATGCTCACAGACCAATGCAGAGAGAAATATGCCTCCTTGGGAGAACATCAGAGAAACCTCAGCAATGCGCCCTGCCCTACACCTAACCTATTCTAGTGTGTACTGGATGATCGACAGGAGTATGTAAGGGGAATGTAGAAGATGGGAGTGGACAATTGTAGATGTTTCCAGTAACACCACCGCAAATTTTTTTTTTTTTTTTTTTTTGAGATGGAGTCTGTCTCTGTCACCCAGGCTGTAGTGCAGTGGCATGATCTCAGCTCACTGCAAGCTCTGTCTCCCAGGTTCACGCCAGTCTCCTGCCTCAGCCTCCTGAGTAGCTGGGGCTACAGGTGCCCACCACCACACCCGGCTAATCTTTTTTTTTTTTTTTTTTTTTGTATTTTTAGTAGGGACACGGTTTCACCATGTTAGCCAGGATGGTCTTGATCTCCTGACCTCGTGATCCACCTGCCTCGGCCTCCCAAAGTGCTGGGATTACAGGCATGAGCCACTGCCCCCAACACCACAAATATTCTTAACAAGAACCAGATTTTCTAGAACTCTGGCATTTCCTTCCATGAGCAATGAGACAGCCCTTTGGGCCCTGACACAATCATGGGTGTTTTTTTGTTCATTTGTTTTGGTGCTCAGGTAGCAGGGGAGGCCTGAGAATACCTGGGGAATCTTTCCTAGAAATGGGATGCCCCCATTTCAAGTATTTCACATGCAACCTGATAGGTCTTGTCTCCAGCCACCCAGCCTCCACTCTCTCAATGCTGTTGTCATCCAGGGCCTTAAGCCCTGGTCACAAGGATGGAAGACATAGTGACACTGTGAAGTGAAGACACTTTCCATCATGAAATTATTAATTGGTGTCAACATAACGTGGGCTCCAACTAGCAGCTTTTCTACCACAATGATAAACAATTTATATGGAAAAGAGATGGCTCTGATAATTCTACACTCACAGGTCTTCACCTGATAACCTTGACATGTGTCCCCTAGGTTTTAGGAACTTGGATTTCTCTAGGCTGAGTTGTACTATTCCCTTTCTCTGAACATACATATCATTGGTTAGTCCATTCATATTGATTCTCAGGGCTTCTCCAACCCCTCAAGCCTTCCCACTCTACCACTCAGACAATGAGAAGTGTGTCATAACTAATGTTGCATAATTTTTTTTTAAATTGCTGGATACTAACACTGCAATTCAATTGTAAAATATGATAGAAGTGTAAGTATTTAAGATCCCAGAGGTTCTGTTCAATTTTGCATTTATTGTTAGATATTCACCCTGGTATTTTCAGGAGTTAGAGTGTTCTTCGCCCATTTTGGTTAAGATATCAGAACTTACTTTCAATACATTGGTGACCAAGAACTACAGGCAGAATCGTAGTGAAGGCTTGATACATAATGCATAATGAAGATTGATAACAGCAAAAAGGGAACTGGTCATTGGCCTTCAGATAAAATGAAACCTCCCAACTTTATGCTTAGGGAATTATTTTACCCCTTTAGGTTAGAGTGTGTCGGCTGGTTCAATGCAGTTCTAGGATAAAGCTGTGTCAATTACCCTAGAGGACTGGGAGCATGGAGGACCTGGTAGAAAAGAAATACTAAAAGAGAAGGAAAATGCTTAGCAAAACGCTAAAATCAAGAGGTCACTAATTGATATATATTTTTTGAGTTGCCTTTGAGAATTCCAAGTAGAAACATCCAGCACAGGATAGGTCTAGAGATGTAATGAGAGATCCAATTCCCCAAGCCCTGAATATGCGAGTGAGGACGCTTGGATGAACTTCCAGTCTATGAATACACTAAACAAACTTTTAGCTCTGTTTTAGTTTACAACAATTGTTTTCTAAGAACTTAGGCATTTGTGGAGACAATGATGTCACTGTAGGAACTTGCGTTAAGGACAGCGACGTCCCACTTCCTCTGCTCCTGCTCACAGTGACCCCGATCTGGCAAAGCTCCCATCCTACCCTGATCCTGCCATGGGCACCAGGCTCCTCTACTGGGCGGCCCTCTGTCTCCTGGGGGCAGGTGAGTCCTAGAAACACCATGATCCTCACATAATCTCCCAGTGATTATTCTAGTCATTTTCCTCTATTTTCAAATTCTTTTCCCGCTACAGAACTCACAGAAGCTGGAGTAACCCAGTCTCCGAGATATAAGATCACAGAGAAAAAACAGCCTGTGGCTTTTTGGTGCAATCCTATTTCTGGCCACAATACCCTTTACTGGTACCGGCAGAACTCGGGACAGGGCCCGGAGCTTCTGGTTCGATATGAAAATGAGGAAGCAGTAGATGATTCACAGTTGCCTAAGGATCGATTTTCTGCAGAGAGGCTCAAAGGAGTAGACTCCACTCTCAGGATCCAGCCTGCAGAGCTTGGGGACTCGGCCGTGTATCTCTGTGCCAGCAGCTTAGCCACAGCGGTGCAGAGACACTTCCCTCCTGTGCACAAAACTGCAGGGCTCTCTCCTCTCTATCAGCTCACAGCGGCCTTTCCTTATTCCTCATCCTCCCAGGGAAGAAGTGAGTTTTCAGATATAGCTAGGATTCATATAGTGGGAGGAAATGAACTCTTTCTTAAAACATGAGCGCTATCATTGTTGTTTGAAAATGTGTCTCAGGGATTTGGAACACTTCTTGGGGACAACTGAAGAAACCTAAAGTGACTTATCAGAGATTGAGTCCTCAGGGGTAGTGATAGTTTCTCTCCCATAAAAGCATGAGATCATGAAACATGTACAATAAACTTAATAATACAGATAGTGATTATACCAAGCAGCAAACAGCAGGCTCCCCCTCTGTAGTTGTCAGCGTGTGAATGACTTGTTATCCTTGGTGACACCCTGGCTGTCTAGCAAAGTCTCAACACATAGTATGCGTTTGGAAATCTTTTCCCTTCTGTTTTATTTTTGTTACAGTATGTTAATAATGATGTTGTTAATGATAGTGATTATCATTTCAGCTACGTTATTCAGTCCTTTTTCTCGTTCAAAGAAATGCACACAAATGGATACCCCAGCAACCAGTCCCAAATCTTAGCTCCAGATGAATTCTGCTTCTCCTGAACTTTCTGACGCTTCTATGTAATCATCCCAGCCCAAGAGTATATCTAGACCTGGACCAGTCAGTTCAGAGGACATTTCCACTTGTCTGCCTCATATATTAAAAGTTCCTTTGTGGATTAAAATATTCCTTGTAAGAACTTCTGAAGCAATCAATTGCCCTCTCTGATAATACACTCTGTGTGTCTAGCTTCATATTCACTACTCTTCTTCTGCCTAAACTAAGATAATTCTAGAAATCTTTCTGAAGTATTGGTTAGAATCACTAAAAAGCAGCATACTGGAAATTGTCTGAAAGCATTGTCACTGTCCATTAGCCCTTCCTGACTTCTCTCCCCTCCTTATCCAATCTAATTCCTGATGGCAAGTCAGGCTTTATGTCCATTTGCTCAGTGCACATCTCCCTTTCCTTTATTCCTCTAATAAAACCTCACCAATGTGATGGATTAAAATGACCACTCACTCACCATCTCCTTGTCAAAATTTCTATTTTTTTCTTTTTCCAATCTGCTATGTTATTTATAGTCAATAACTTCCTCATATTTTCTGAGATCACTTTTTATTATTTTAACATAGGACACACGGTTGTTTCAGAGTCTGTCTGATCATTTTCACCTCTGAGATCTTCACAGGATATTTTTGTGATTTTCTTTTTGTGCAGCTTCTCAGTTATGGTGCTTGAGTTTTCATGGCGTTTGTATTTCTCCTTACCAATCTGATGATGTTTGACACTATGCCAAATGCTATAGCTGTAGAAATAATTTTTGGTGTAGGATGGACCATATTTTTCTGCAGCAATCATTTTTCTGTGCTTCTGAAAGTGCATGTAGGTATAAACGATCAGACTCCCTGAATCAGTTTAAGGCTTGAGGTGTCCTGGAGCATCTGGAGAACAGGTTTGTCTCTGGCTTATTGTTACTATTGGAATTTGGCAATGACACATTTGGTACGTTCTGGTCTTTGCCTTTACCCCCCTGGCCTGTGAGTCAGCTTCCTGAGAGCTGAGTCAGGATCTGCAAATGCCCTCTAGGACAAATGGACTGCTGTGCTCACCTCCCAGGGCTCTTGCCCTCACCAACATTCCAGCCAAGTTATTCCTTATTTTTTTTTTTAGGACTTTAATTAATTGAAATTTTTAATGTTGTTTTTGATATTTTTTCCAACTATGTAGATAACAACAGAAAGAGTGAGTGCCATTATCCTTAATTATTGGGATTAAGGTGAAAATAACTTTACTTGGAATTCTAATTTTCCTTGAATTTTAATGTTAGATTCTTTGTGATGTGCCTGATATTTAACTTAAATGGCATAGAGATATTAAACTCTGATATCAAATACTTTTTTAAAAAAAACTTAAAGGCCATTCATAATCCAATTGAGACATATCTTTGTTTGGGGCATGTTATTACTAGGGTATTCTTATATTGTTATTTATTTCTATCACATAACCTCTGTGTTCCATTGGACCATACGGCAAGATGAGAAACACAATCAAGAGAATGTTGAGATTAGGTCAGATAGTACAGATTGGGCTTCAAATTAATTTAATTACTGCACCCCGGGGGTGTATTTTTGCTGTTTTATGAGTATTCCCCAGGGGCAGTGGTCAAAATTGGAGGGAGTAACTGATATGTTACTATTGTTTTACCCCGTTTAAAGCCAGTCTCCTGGGACAACAGTTTGTTCCATATACCCCATTTTGTGGGGCACCCCGAAAATAATAATCCTGTTTTAATCTTCCCATTCCTTGCCAAACCTTCTCTATGGAAGGGAAATCAGTTATAGTATTTGTTCTCTTCATTTTAGTCTCTCCTTATTTCCTGTTTTCCTCCTGGTTCCCTAGAGAAAAGCTAGATTCTTTGGTGCGTTTCAAACGTGTGCTTAGATCAGTGGCGAACTTTCTCTTCCATGCAGGGCTAGCCTGCCGTTTGGAGGGGACAGAGAATGGTTAAATTCTGATTCAGCATCATGTTAGCCCGCCCATCAAGTTTCACATTGAGACCTGCTGCTTACCAGTATTAAACCTGGCATTATGTTTCCACCTTTCTGACCGCATTGTCAATGTCTCAGGTGTCTCTGTCCTACCCCACAGCACTAATATTATTCACTGGCCTTCTAACACTAACTAATCATAATATTCTATATGCCCCGTACTCAGTGAAACAAAGCCCAAGTCCCTGTGTCTTGGCAAAAGACAGCACATTTGTGCTGTTCCAGCCTATTGGCCACTAGGAGGCACTGTGGCTTCGCTGTCATCCAGGGTCTACAGGGAGGAGCAGAGATTGCTCCCTGGAAAAAGACGGTTAAGGGTTACTCTGAGGTTGGACCTAGATTCAGGGAGTTGGTTTGCAGAGGTCTTGAATGATGGCTGGGAATAAAGGAATTAGTAACCGACCCTTCTTCCTCCATTGTAGAGGTGGGTTTTGCTTTAAATTGAGCTTTGAGTGGGGCTGAGTGACAGGTGTGCTTTGCAGGGCATATACCTCTGACCTCGCTTAAGATGTGGGGGCACAAGGAGCTGGGGCGGTGCAGGGCCCATGTTCTGAGCTGAGAAAACCAGAGAAGGAGTTCTTGTGTCAAAGGAGCCTTGGAAAGCCTGGCCCCAAACCAGCCAAGGCCAACCCTACCTGCTCTGTAGAGAGTAGAATAGCAAGAAATGGAGGTGCTACCCAGGACCACAGCAGAGGGACCCTCTCCCCAGGGAGTTGACAATCACAGTGATGCCACCAGCATATCCACATATGAGGCATAGTCCAGTGTGTCTCCTGGAAGAAGATGAGGCCTAGGCAGACATAAGAAGATGTTTTTGAATACGCTTCCCTTGGCCTGATTTGAAATTCATTCCATGTGATCATGCATCCATCTCTACCTGTATTTTGTATCTGGCTTCTGCCTCTCACCCATCAGTCCCATGGCTACTAGAAGGTATTCAATTTCTATTGACACAAATTACCAATAACTTCGTGGCTTACAATGACAAAAACTTATTATCTTACAGTTCTGCAGGTCAGAAGTCCAAAACTAGGCTAAAATCCAGGTATTGGCGGGCTACATTCCTTCCCAAGGCTCTCGGGGAGAACTATCTTTCTCTTCTATTCATCTTGTAGAGGCCACCAGCGTTCCTTGGCTCATGGCCCCATTCAATCTTCAAAGCCAACAGGGACTCTGCATCACTCTGAGGCTCACTCTTCATTCTCCCTCTTCCACATTTTAGGACCCTTGTGATTACATTGGGCCCACCTGGAAAATCCAGGACA